CGACTTTTGGAGAGTTGTGTAGAGAATGAAGTTGCAAGATTTACCCGAACTTTTTCTTCTGGTAAAATCATGAAAAGTGTCAAGCAATCACTGGTTGACGTTTTTACAGGAAAAATGGTTTTTTTGTTCCCGTACTTTTTGTTGTTACTCACTTTTTACTCTCACTTCAAAGAGTAATTTTGCTGTTTGACAGTTTTACAGGATTTTTCACGAAAAGTATTGGATCAGAGCTATTAATGATGTGCTCTACTGTATAAGTGCTTGTGTGTAAAGCGTTAAGAGTTTAAAACTGATTTATAAATAGTAAAATGTTTACAGCAGAATATCAAAACGGTGCAACAATTATTCACTTGCAAGTTTTTACTAGTTTTGTGTTCAATAACTTCTTCAGCTAGTTTTCTCTTCTTCTCAATTTTACGCTCTATATCGCTTTTACGCTCTCGCTGCAATGTTTTACTGGAGAAGTTACTATATAAACCTTTAGTAGGCGACAAGTAAGAATTACAAATCTTATTTCGCCTTTATAAGTGATGTATTACTTCAACTTATCTCATATCTTACATATTTAATTTAATATTCGTTTCATCTAAGTGAGCGGTTGTAATGAACAATTAAGTTTTGCTCTTATTGTTTATAACTTTAGTGGGAAAAGTGAAGCAGCTTCATATATGTACCTACGTACATATGCAGCTCCTCATTTGGAAAGCCATTATTCGCACTTAAATTATTTTAAGTGTTAACCGTTTTCTGCAATTACCCCTTTTCAGTGATATTTAATTAAGGTAAAGAACAAAGGTTCCTTCAGCGCAATATCATTTTCAGTTTCCTCTGTTTTGCTGTGGGTACATAATGGTAGTAAAGTCAGTCAGCATTTATACTTAGTTACTATATTTTACAAATATTGTCATGCACTAACTTTCCATCTAAGGAAATTATAGGATATTATGAGGTTTGTTTTACCTTAACCAAAGGTAAAAAATGTTTGGGCAAAATGTTCAAATGCCTAACTGACATCAGTAATTGGTTTACGAAGCGTGTAAATTTCGAACGTAAAGTGGCCTAAATGTTCTCTTTCCATACAATTTACGATATAAAACTTTGTTTACAATTTCATAAAATTTTTAAAAATGATACAATTGGCGAAAGAGCTCTTTACATGCGTTTTGATATGTTACTACCCCAATTGTCTGGGGCTTCCATAAATCCAGCGCTCATTATAGGCAGACGGGTTTGTCAAATGGTTGCTATCAACCATCTTGCAATAGCGTAGGCGAACATGATTTGCTATAATTTTTGTTACCATTACATTAATGAATTAATGTTTTATTTTTTTTTATATATTTTATTTTGGTCCACTAAAATAAATTGTTGGACAGTTTTATATTACGATAAAAAAACTCTTTGGAATATTACTTTGAATCCCTATCGGGGAAGGTGGTCAAATAGGTTGGAAAAAGGTATCACGTGATTTATGGATGCCCCTTTTGTTATGACATGCAGGTTCAATAAAGTATTACGTGGTTCGCCCTTATGTTTATGCATGCCAAACATTTTGTAATAAAACTGTTAATTTACCGGTCAATTCTGCGCTGCTAACAACCCCTTTTAGTTTTTGTTAATACATAAAATGTTTAAATTTTTCGGTTACAAATTGTTCGGTAACAACCAGAAACGCCCTTTTGAACGCAGAGTTCAAATAATAGTATACAGTATTAAAATAGGTAGACAAGTAGGCATCAGACGGAATGTGCACTGTGATCAAGAGGTCTATTGTGGGTCTACTGCTTTTTAGGATACTTTTAAAATTACTTGAGAGCATTAAATTTAAAAGCAAACTCGTTGGGACTGCGTTTTATATGCTGAAATCCTTCACGACTTTCTCGTTGCATCTGAAACGGCGCATCTTCATTTTCGCAAAATGTTTGCGAAAAAACTTCACATTGATTGTAAAAGTTTTTCAGCATATGCTTATGGAGCAGGTGTTCATGTAGCTTTAATTGGAATATAGCTTTTTTGGCTAACACTTGGCACATCTCAGCGGAAAGCGGACGTTTATATGGATCGTAAGTTTTCTACCAAAATACAATGTAGTTAAGGTAAGTTTATTTTAATTGAATTTTGTACTCACAATTTCGACTGCATCAGGCTGAAAGTAAAGATGTGTTATATTTAAAACTTGCTCTACAGCTTCAATTAGCGTCATTGGCTGTTTTACACCGCGCACAAGTGAAACGGCCACAAATGTATCGAATACACCACCAAGTTTAACGCCATATCGATTTTTCAAGTGGTCTACCAATCTATGACTGTAGTGTACCGCTTTGCGTGGACGCTCTGATTCTAGTAATTGTTTCATTTCCCGGAAAATACTGCCCAAAGCGATTATATCGAATATGTACACCATTTTGAAAGTGGCCACGGTCAGCACAGAAGTGCGATGTGCCCGTCCAAAGTCCACTGGCTCCATAATAAGGGCAACTACCGGTTGTACACGTATATCGGCCAGCGCTTTGTGATAGCGTTGGTCCGTTTGTGTGATGCACACTATAGCATTGAGTTGCTCATGAATTAATTCCAATTCATTGCTGCTAAGCGAAACATCGCTTTCCTGTCGCAGTGGTTTCTTGAGTTCAGGCGACGATATTGGGGACTTAGGCGCTGTATTATAACTGGTGTGACTCTCCTGATTAACTTCGGATGTTGTAGGTGAAGTGTTGCTACTATTTGGGCTATCCGAAGGCTCGTCGTCACGTATAATTTGCAGTTTTTTAATTTGAGGAAAAGCCAGAATTTGTGGCGAATTATATTGACAATTCGAGCGCTGATCATAAACGTTTTCTAGTTCTATTATTTTACGGTTTAGATCAACGAACTTTAATGTACCAGTTAATAATTCACTGGCGGTTTGGACCAGCAGCATTTGGCCTAATTGTAAAGTTATTCCCGTGGTCTCCATTTTTATTTGGCGTATGTACAGCTAGACGCAGCTCCTGATGCTGATAAAGAAATTGTTGTGGAATTGAGGATGGTGATGCAGGAATATATGACAAACAGAATTTTGGATATTTTTTATTTGTTATTAGATATTTTGCACCACCAAATACTTTTATTTTGACGCGGCGAAACTGAACATAATTTAATAATTGAAAAATTGAAGAAAAACATGAGAAAAAGTTAAAACGTCAAAGGCAGCGTTGCATTTTAGTGGCCGTACATCAAGATTCAATAGTTGCGTTCCAGCAGCAGTACGAATAGCAGGTTTTGCTCATGAACCAATTAGAACAGATCTGACCGGTTGAGAAGCAGCCATTTGTAATAGCAATTGAGAAAAAAGTGTGTGACATTCGTAGTTGTGTGACGTGTAGTTGGATCATGATAATAGTTGCGTTCGCGCAGCTGTTAATTGTTCATGTTTAACCAAAACTTACAAGTTTTTGCGTTCGAGTACGCAAAAAACTTGCAAAGTAGAGGAAATTGAGAGAGCAAAGTGACATTTCATTTTGAGGGGAGCTGCTGGTTTCTGCTGGAAAAATTTTTGCCTACAGCAATTTACCAACAGTAAAACAGCTGATCAAAAACAGCTGGTTGGCATTTACGCAAATCACAAAATTGAATTTGATCGTTTGGAAGCTAAAAATTACAAAATGCGGCTAATTAAACTTGTAAGAAATAAGTAGTTATTTGTTTTATCAATAAACTGTGTCAGTATAACACTTTGTGATAACTTTTCGTACGTTTTAAATCTTACACTTTTGAATGTAAACAAAAATTATATCAGCTGTTCGTCTAACTTGCAAGTTTCTGCAAATTTTTTGTTCGCGAACTATTTTGGATATTTCTCTCTTGTGAGAGAACAGATGACATTTCGCCGGAATTTGGCAGTTGGTTTGTTTTTACTGGAGATTTTAAACGAACGCACCTAATTACAGGTATTGTCTTCGCAGAGAGTTTTGCTTCTTGATTCTTGTTTCTTTTAATTATATTGGCTTCGCTTCTTGTTTTCGCTCAATTTCACTTTTGTAATTTTTCAAAACAAAAGAAAAACGTTTGAAATGAAGTCAGCCACACAAATTTTTAATTTGCTTACGAAGTAAATGTTTTTATTGGCTTTTGCAAATTAAATAAGTCCTCTACAAGATGGGTTGTTTAAAAAAAATACGTGTATACCATATATGTATGGGGTATGGAAGTATCCCTTTTCCCTAGCAGTAAACCATTTATTGTGGGCAATGATGTTTTTCAAATAGGGCAGATCGGAATATGCGCTCTCTGGAAAGACAATACCTGTAATTATTGTACCATGTTACCGTACTATGTTTTTATCGTGGTGGTATCGGTACAACAATAACAAAATGTACATGTGTTTTGTTTTTGCTTTTCCGGTGAGGACTGTTATATTATGGGAGGAATGTCAAAAATTTCATTCGAAGGATGTGACACACATCACACCTATCATTCTTGGTTCACAAGTCGATAGTGGCAAAAAACAATCGATAATGAAACATCGATACTATAGTTAGTTTCATCGAGTGTTTTGCAGTTCAGGATGGTTTGTTTTTCCGGTTCTATTGTCAAAGAAGTTTACAAAGGTTGGCGATAAATAACAATTTGTACAATTGTTACCAATTCAAGAAGTTCCTACTACAAAATTGTATATTCGAAAATCTGTATCAAGGTACTTAAATATAATAAATCTTAGTTCTTATGTTCATACATTTATGTATGTATATACAATATATTTCATGATTTTTATATTTTTACAAGCTTATACAAGTTAACAATTATCTAAACTAAAATTGTCCAGCTGCGCTAGCATCAGCTATCAGCTGAGCGTAAAGGATAACAGAGCTCTATATTCTTCTAATGCATGCATAAAGATTATTAAAACATATATGTGTGTATGTATATAAGTATCATGATTCTATAAGTATGTATTATGTTTATTTCTTCTCTGCCTTGTAATTGCATAAACAAAGATTGATATACAAATATACGGAAGCTACAAATTTGCACAGGACTAATTAGTGATCTTTGTTTGTATCAGTTTTTATATATTCCAAATCATACGCATAAAAATGGATATTTTAAACGATGATTGTTTGGTGAATATCTTCAATAATGTACCAGAACTTCGCAATCAGGTTCAAATCTCTCGAGTTTGCAAACGCTTCGAAGCGATCATCAGGCGTATATGGCGCTCCCAGAAATGCTATCGAACACTTAATTTATCAGAATGGTTTGGTTGGCTGCCAGAAATACAAGATCTAACATATTTTTTGCATTCAGTACGTACTAGCTTGTCGTCTATAGTGATTGGCGATGAAACCTTAAACAAGTTTTTGCTTAACATAAAGCAAATTTTAAAAGCAAAGGAAATTTGTGCACCTATCAGTAGCACGGTCTGCCTGCCAAGTGTACAACATTTTGAGGGTGAGGAAAAATCGTTTTTTAGCATGATTACTGACAGCGATATGGAGATACTCGTACGAACTGTTCCAAACCTTCTCTCACTGCATCTGAGAGAACCATTAAGTGGCCGATATGTTTGTGATTTCCTAATGTTGGAGGAGTTGTATTTGTACGTGCCATCAAATAACGTTTTGGAAATTGAAAATACCCATTTTGAGGCAATCTGCATCCGTTTAAAATATTTGCGAATTTTAGATGTGCGCAGATATGACGGAAAGAGTCATTTGGATTTGACACCTGTGTTGAATTGTGAGAATTTAGCAGTTCTTAAAGTAAATCTACATCCGCTTAAAAAATTTCTTCCTCAAGTCCTGCTGATGCCAAAACTAGTATCACTCAACGTAATGCTGGATTCTGAGATCGACGTTGGAAGTATTCTGAATGTAGATACGCATGATTTTAAAATATACGAAACAGTAGAATTCCATGATGTATTAAAAAATCAAGGTGAGCGTATAATTGGCTTAGCAGTTGATCTTTATTATTTTCCGTTGGATTCTGATTGGGCTTCAAATTTGAATCTGTGGCAGGGTGGCCGTAAGCTAAAAAAATTCTGCCTTTGTAGCTGTGAATTATCACCCGATCCACTGCTCAATTTGGCTAACATAATGAACTGCTTGGAGTATCTTAGTTTGAGAAATTGGCAACATTTGACGAATGACCACGTTCTACATTTCGTCGAGCGATGTGTACACTTAGAACATTTGGACGTTAGTTATTGTCCTAATATAGATGGAAAGTTGCTTTATCAAATAATGGATGTACTAAAGAAACAGGATAGAAATCATGCATTACATATCTATTACATGATGAGTGGCTTAGAGGATGAAGTGCAAAAAATGGTGAGTAATCTCTATTAGAAAAGCGCCAAGATTTTTTCCTTTTCTTTTTTTCAGAATCCCAAAATTTGGCAAGCACAAGGCTTGGTGGATTTATCAATGGATTTCCCAGCTGGATCTGAAAAAGGGCTGAGTTATGTATATCGGGGATATGAATTTGACTTCGTTTGTAATGATATGTCCTAGAAACAATTTTTAATTGGGTGCCTAAATAATATTACATATTTATGTTAAATACCCTCTATCTACAATTTTAACAAACATTAGATCATTATAAAAAAACCGATGATGTTAATGCTGACCTCATATATATCGCTCTTTGGAAAAATTTACTATTAATGATGAAATGGATTCTAACACCAGAAACTAGTTTTGTGCAAATTGCCGATAGAGGGCATTGAATATATGTAAACCCTGGATATGTTGTTATAACAGTAAAAAACAATATTATTAATGGACCCTTTCCGATTTTTTGCTGACCCGAGTAAAGGTAAGACAAATAACATATGACCGAGGAAATTTTAATTATTTCAATAAAGTTGTTGTTGTTGTTGTAGCAGCATACAAGTTCCCCAAAGTGTTTTTGGGGAGTGTTGCTGGAGTGACAGTCCTTGGCCAAATATAAATCTGGGTCGTTCCGGTTACGTAGACCCGACTGTCGTGTGAACGATTTCGATAAGTAATATGTATTAGTTGACGACACCCACACTTTTCATAATTAGCCCTGTTAAAATGAAATTCATAAAATGTAATTTATTTAAATTAAAATATACTAAAGGTAAAATGTTTTGGTTGCGTTTTTCTCCCGGTTGGCTATCGACCAAAATTAAACATTTTCATAGAAATATCCGAAATTCTGTTTTTGGATCACGGAAGAAATCTTTAGTTGTCGATTATGGACAGCATCACAACCTCAGTTGGGTAGCCAATGGATAAAGCCACTGAAATGAGAATGTATGTTATGTTATGAATAGACACAATATTTCAGTGAATTTTCAAGTACCACCAACTCAGACTTGACTGTAAATACAAATAATTTCTCAAAACCATAGTGAAATAATAATAATATTATTATTATTATCACTATGCTCAAAACTACGAAAAAGAGAATCAGTTGAAAAAATAAATTAATTTTCGTAATCAAAAATTCTGTGGCAACCTAAAAAGTATAGTTGCCAATATAGCAAATCAGTTGCTGTCTGAACTTCGGTTGCCATCCGTAATCGACCCATTATTTTTTGGTATTATTAAAAGCTTGCTTTTTAAATTTTTAGATGACAAAGCTTCTGGATTTGAATGATGACTGTCTCTATTGTATCTGTTCGTACCTTAATTTGGATGACCAGCTATCAATGAAAAATGTGTGCAGACATTTGAATATGGTGATAAAATGGTTATGGCGATATCGATCGAAAGCCCTTACAATATCATGCAAGCAAATGAAGGAGTTTAATGAAGAGGGCATGCAAGACTTTCTCGATGTGATGACAAGCGTTTGTGAGACATTGGAAGAGTTAACCATTGACAGCATTAAAAGCGCGCAACTGAAACAGGTTGCCCACTTAAGATTCCCTAAATTAAAATTCCTCGAATGCACTATTTCGCACGACCTAAATGAGAGCAATGATGCCGACGTTCTTCGATTAACTAAACTTTGCCCATACATTACCAGATTAGTATTAGGGGGCGGTATAACGGGCAAATATATAAGTAATCTGTTCTTGCTTACCGATTTGGATTTGAGCTGTTGTGAATATCTGGATACAGAATATTTAGCCGAAATCTGCAACACATTGAAATTGAGAAAGCTTGCTTTGCTTTATTATGGATATAACACAGTGTTAGATGATGGGCTGTCCGCAATAACTGATTGTCATACACTGGAAGAGCTGAAGATAGATGATCATCACCTATTGCTCTTCATCGATGAACTATTGCGAATGCCATCCATGCGCAAAATCGTTTGTTATACACGTGACTATGATGTGTTTTTAATGGGGAAACTAGCTCAAGCGCTTGGCGTACGCATCCATACGCTAATTTTTAATTGTGTCCTTTGGTCAAACGATCGCCACATTGAATACATAGGGTTTATGACACACTTGCAACGTCTTATATTACAAGATGATGACATTGAAGATGAACAGCTTGAAGTTTTAGCCCAACGATTGAAACAGCTACGCGAATTTCATTTCAGCAGCAGTCGCTTGGAGAGTGATAATGGAATTTTGGAAATTGCGAAACACTGCACAAAGTTGGAAGTACTAAATCTGACAAAATCAAATATTAGTAGCGATTTTTTAAGAAATATAATGATTGTGCTCAGCGAGATTAAACGAAATGGTCCTTTGAAATTATATTGTGGCAAGACGGCAGTCGAAAACGAACCGATAATAGAAGTAAGTAATTGATTCTATGTACATATTCCAAGTCAATGTTTTGATAAAATTTTCATTTGTTTTTTAGAATGAACAGCTAATTGTTTCAACAGAGGATCTACTTTTCGATCTACCATATGGACGCTGTTTACAATGTGAATGGTGAAAGCTAAAAAGAATCTACGAAAATGCTATTACAAATGTTTTTATCTTTTTGCATTTCAGTTTACAAACTTATCCTTACTTATATTATATTATTTTATTATTTTTATAATATTATAAATCCGAAAGTGAATATGTTTGTTTGTTACGCTTTCACGCTTTAACTACTCAACCGATCATCATGACATTTTGTACTCTGGTGTCGTTTAGCCAAACCTAAAATATAATAAACCTTTTATCTCGATTAGGCAAGTAGGCGTGGCACCTGCCATACAAAGGGAATTTTTCAAACTGCGTACCAATGGAAGCATTTGTGGTAGAGTACTGGTGATAAGATAACGAAAAAGGTTTACAAAGTTTGTGTGTTTAAGAAGTGTTTAGTTTGACAATTAGTTGAAGGGGGTTTAAAAAAATATCAAAATCTCTTTTTTTGCTAAGTTTAAAACCTATTGTAACACGCAGAAATTTCATACACTCAGTGAAGCGGGTGAGAGCAAACTAGTTTTAAAATAAATTAAAAAGATGTGCATATGTTTTTGTATTGTTCAACCTATGTACAGTTACTCACAAAAGTATTCTAGATCGCCGACACCCGCTTCGCTGAGTGTATGAAATTTCTTCGTGCTACATTAATAGTAATTTATTTCAATAAATCTCAACATATTTAAATTATGCCAAAAACAGGAGATTTTAAATTTGCTTAACCATCTTCAAAATATTTCTTTTACTTTTTCAATTAACTTATATCTTGAATTCAATTTGAGATTTGAAATAGGTGACAATCTCCTATGATGTTGGTATATGATCGTAATTTTCTCCATAAGCAGTTTTTGTTTTCTAATCTGAATGCCTGTGATTCGTATCGAGGAATACATACAATGAACTAAGTAGAAATTAGGACTCGACGATTTTAGTAAGTTTTGGCTATTTTTCCTTAGTTTGTTTAATGTTTATTATTTATTTTATGAGAGTAAAGCTCTTCCAAACAAAAACCAAATAATACCAAATTTCCAACTTTATGCAAAAAACTGTAAAAATTAATTCTGAAATTTTTCACCAAAATTTCAAATTTTTTCATTAGCATCATGAGAAAAAATTTTGTTTGCCGTTTTGTAACTCATTAAAATTGAGTATAATAAAGTGCGAGTGGAAAGTTCTGCTTCTCTTTCAAAAAAATTGTCGAACATACTTTGTATGAAAAAAATCCGCAACACTGCCAACAAAAAAATGCCCAAAATTAATGTTAAGCCTTAGCGACTTAAAATTGCACTTTAATATACTAATACTAATACATCTGGGATCATTGAAGAAGGCTTTAACATCTGTAAGCTGTTGTGAAAAAAATTTGCAAAATTATTTTTTGTCCCGTGGGCAGCACTCATAAATATGGTCACCATAGCTATAGTACATATGTAGCATAGAAATACAGACTTTTCAAGGCTCGTTTGATTAAAACCTATGCTGTAATAACTCATTTAACTTATAATATAATTATATTTGAATTTAGTTTTAAACAGGTGGTAACCCTCTTCAAATTCCTCATAAGGTACTACACGTTCAAGCTGAACATTTCTAAACACTCTTACGTATGACACTTTAATTTGAGTATAACGAATTTAACTTCGACTTTTAAAATAGGTGGTAACCCTCTCCAAATTATTTTCCAATTAAAGCCGTATTAAATACCTTTGTTATGACACCCATATTGTGATACATATTCCAATTATCTAATTCCCTAAATTCAGCTGGCAACTTCTTTCCAAATATCTTCAAACTACAACTTTTTTAAGCCTCTTGACATCCATTTTTTTTAACATAATTTTAAAATAAATATTTCCCTTAATTCAAGTTGAATTTGATTTTTTAAACAAGTGGCAGCCATCCTCCATGAGTGTGGAATTTATATTATATATCAAGTTCCAGTACTCTATCACAAATATTTCCTGCGATATGCAGTACGAAAATTTCCGTTTGTGTGGGAGGTGCCACACCCCTTTGCACAATCGATATTTAATCTATCCTATATTTTAAGTTGGGCTAAATGACACTAGCGACATCGTCAGCGAACAAAATTTTCAAAATTCAACGGTAAATCCTAGCCATTTAACACTTGCACTTCATTATGTTGAAATTGAATGCAACTAGTAAACCTTCAAAAGAGGACCATCTGAAGACATAGTTTCACACCTCTGCTGTGAGTAAGCTTTGGTCAACTGTAAGGTCACTGTTTAAACCGACGAAACGCCATGATACAGTGGAAATCCCTTTCGGTAACCGCGCTTCGTCGGACCCGGAGCGATGCGCGAGCTATTTTAGCCGACAGTTCACGCTGCATCCTTCGGTGGACAAAGCCAAATGTCGAGTGACCCGAAAGCTGCATAAACTGTCAACCCAGTGCGCCTCATGCTTCCACCAGCAATGAGGTTCAGGTAACCATCGGGAAGGCGAAAGCCTCCAAAGCCATTGGACCCGAAGGAATATGCAATCTGATGTTCGAGAAATCGGATTCTGCGGGAGTAGATTATCTCCCGATTATCTCCCCAAGGTCTTTAATCTGTACATGTCCACTCACATCGTTCTGGAAATGTGGAAAACGGGGAGAGTGGTCCCACTGCTCAAACCGGGGAATACGGTAAACAAAGGAGAGTACTCTTGTCCGATAACCCTCCTCG